CAAGAAAGTTTATCGTTACAAAGTACTGATTGACTCTTTGATTTTGCGCCCCCGAAATGTTGCGCCTGCGTGCGTGCACGCACTGCACGCTCACCAGGAACGGGCCTGGATTGACCCATACTTTACAAATTATCTCTAAAACAAATCATTTTATCAAAATTTTATAAGAGACAAAAAATTTTCAACAATAAATGATTACTTGAAAAAATACCGTTTGGAAGTCATTGGCGCACGTACTAAAAAATAGGGGGAGTCAGTGAGTACTGGACCCCCCTATTTTGATTATTTGACAATTGTTTTTTGTTTTGTTGGTCTCAAAAAATGTAACTATTTATGTTGAAGTAGTGTACCGAATTTAAACTTAATATCTTTTCAATTACTTGAATTATTAAAAAAAATCAGTTTTAAATTTCAAACTTTGTCGCCCTGTATATCGAACATGAAGCTCTAAATTGAAAAATGGTATTATGAAAGTCTTATTGTTTTAACTTAAAGAATATATGGTTAACGGATTGACCTCCTTTTCCCGGACACCCTGTATAATTGATCGATTTGGTCAAAAAAGCCCTTAAATTGAAGGTACTTGAGCCTTCTAAAACTTTCTTCTACATATTTTTGATATCGGATAAGTATTTTGACGCTAGCGATTTTAATAACTTAAAAAATTCGTTTTTATGGCAAAAATTGAGGTCGAAAATTTACATATCGTCCTGGGAAAGGTTTAAATCAAACAGATAACTCCAGTTTGATTTTTTGGGTCAAAATACATGGGAAAATTATAATGGGATATGGTGGACAGAATTTTTTTTCAGTTTTGTAAACTAGTGTTATTGAGCCAGTGTATTTTTAAAATTTACTTTATACAGTATTAATTTAAATTATTATTTTCAAAATTTACCATGGGATAAATCTAAAATAAAAACATATTTTTGTTATTTGTAATTTTGCATATTTAAGTCATTTTCAGTAATAATAAAAACAACTAACTTAATAATATTGAGGCTATAACTGTTACACACAAGTATATTTTAAACATGTTTGTCTATTTTAATATCCACAAGTACAATTTTTTTTTAAATGTATTGGTTTTTAACCCATTTTATACTCTATTTTTCTAACCATAAAATGATAATAAATTGAACAAAAAACTTATTGAAATCAAGAAATTTGAAATAATCAATTTTTTAGGTCCTCATTATTACAAGTTTACTTTTAAAATTCTTAGATTGCAAAATGCACTTTTAAGTAGGATTGCAATAACAATAATTACATATACAGGGTGTCCCGAATATTGTTGTCAGTCCATTATCAAGGGATACATTTCGATTTATAAAACATACAAATTTTAAGAAAAAAAATGCACAATAATAACTACAAAAATTTATTTTGTCAAGTTATCCATGAAAAAACATTGAAATAAAATTAAACTTATAGTAATAGTACCATGTTACTATTAGTTTAATTTTTTTCATGGATAACTTGACAAAATAAATTTTTGTTGTTATTATTGTGCATTTTTTTTCTTAAAATTTTTCAATAAAATTTAGTATAGGGTAGTTTTGAGGGGTGGCGAATCCAGTGCCGTGCTTAGATTTTGTTAAAAAAAATCGCTAATATGAATTCTTAAAAATTTACTCTTAAAAACTGACATAGTAGGCCTTGAATTTTGTATAAATATGGCGTTTTTTGCTTTAAAAATACAGTTTATCAAGATCTACACTTTAAAACAAATGCCTTTAAAATCGCACAATAAATAAAGATTTTACAGGGGTGAGTCGCAAACAAATCGGTCACACTGTATACCATATATTAAAGACCGAATTGTAGGAAAAATACACACTGTCAATTTTGATTTGAAATTAAAATTCTTAGAGCAAAATCCTTGGACAGAAAATGTGTTGTAACCAGGTCCCCCATGAAAGTTTTAAATAACAATTTTTACTTGAAATCTCGAAAAATACATATTTTTTATGAAATTTAAAAAATAAGACAAAATTTTTTTAAACACAACTTGTTTTATTTTATAATCTTTATTATAGGTATTATATTAAAAAGAAAACATTTGTTTTTTAATTTAAAAAAATAAATCAATAAATATTTTCACCCAAGTTCAATGTTATTGTTGGTAATTATTTTACAATGCAACTAAAGAAAGTTATATATCAATTGATTTCAAGTATACAGCTTTTCAATCAGACAAAAAACAGCAAAGATATTTGATATAATTAACATGGTAGTGATTTTTACTTTAAAAAAATTTAATTTTTTAATTATATCTTTGTTATAGGAATACCTTCTAATTTTTTTCATATATATTTACAAACAAAAATACTGTCTATTTTTATTCATATTTTAAATCAGTCGTTAACGACTGATATAAATTTTATCAACCGATTTACATTTTAGATGATTTTATTGGCCAAAAAACAAATCTAGTAAACCATGACTTATACTAGCGAAATTATTTTTTATGGTTAAAAGCAAATGTCACAAATGTCAAATAAATATTTATGACATTTTAATTGTTTTATGTCTAATTTAAAATGTCAATGTATAGAAATCGACTTTTTTATGGAAAATATAAACGTTGAAAGATAATTACCCAATTTATTTTATAAAACAACAGTTTTTTTAAAAAAATACTGCGTTGCCATGTCGTGCAAAAACCTAAATCAGTTGATTAAAATAATTTAGCTCTAAGTTAGTTGACGGTTGTCAAATGTCATAGGATCGTAAAAATAAACTGCCCTTGTTGAAATTATTTTATTATTTTATTATTATAGAAAAATAAAAAGTACTAAATAGTTTCTCAATACTTTTTTGAAAAGTTTATATGCAAGTTTTTGAGACGCTCATTTAATTGAACACTCGCTCGCAATCTCGCTCGTGCCTAATTGAAATTCGTGACTAAAATGACCTTGATATCTAATATACATTTTTTTACTATTTTATTGTCGTGTATTATGAAGTAGGTAACTATTGGCTTTTATTGTAATTTATATTGTCAACAAGAAAGTAAATATTGCAATATTATATAGATTTTTTTTGCTTAAAGTTTCTTTATTAATAAATTTTCATATTCAACACATCCATTCCATTTGATATACAAAAAATCCAGTTGTAATATGGCATGAGTCTAAACAGGATGCTATTGTTTAATTTATTTATTGTCTCCAGAGGGCTTACTTTTTGAAAAACTGATTTTTCCACCATTTCAACAGACCAATCAATCCTGACACCCAAGTGTGCAGTTGAACATTCTTTAATTGTGTGATGGAGTAAGTCTTTATCCAGTTTTTTCTGTTCTTCCAGTTTTCTTAGTTTCATTATCAAGTCTATGAAATATCTACAAAAAAGTTTATTTAGTAATCAGAAGTTTTACAATAAAAATGAACTATTCTTTTTAAATTAGAATTTACTGTAAGCGTACCCACTAACCCTTATAAGGGTATATATACTATAGTATAGTATATATCAGGACCGTGCCAGGATTTTCTCTAAAGGAGTTATCATTAAATTGTTAAACATGTTAAGTTCATTAATTTGCTATTTAAAAACCTATCCACCGTGAAGTCTAATATCTCAGTAAGTAGATTTTTTATAAATATTTTATGTATGTACAATTGTAGTTTTAAAAAATATTAAGGTGTCAAAATATACCAAAACTAATTTCAAATATACAAAGGGATGTTAAAAAAACATAAGAAATCCTAACCTCCGTGAAGCTATCCTCCGTGAAGCTATCCTCCGTGAAGCTATCCTCCGTGAAGCTCTAATATTAAAAATGTATGATTTTTTAAAATTCTTGCATTAGTGCAGAACCACTTATGTTATGTTATTACTAGACCTGGGGGCTTCTCAAAAACTCCATTCTAGACTAACAGTGAAACAACCAAAAATAAAAAATAATCATTTTCACTTGGGGGACATCTCAATATATTCACCCATATACATTTAAAATAATAACAAAATTCACAAAAAAATTCGAAAAAATGGGGAGGTCAGCTGAAAATTGTTTTGCTAATAGCTAATTTTATTAGCTAGTTTTTTTGATAAAATTGAAAAAATCGCTTGGTTTTTTATCATTATCAACAACAAAACACGTGATATGAACAATTTTTACTTTTTCTTGAAAAATAGGATATTCCGCAAATTTTGCCAAGAGGCGAAAACCTCATTTTCGCACGGTCCTGTTATATCCAGGTAATATAAAAACCTTTATTATTATTATTATTACACAATAAAATAAAATGAAGAAACCGTTTTTTATTTTAAAAGAGCCTGTAGGTATATCGTTTTAAATTAAAACTTTTAATTTATTAATTGTATACAAAATTAATTACTTAATTCAAAAATTTACCTTCTTTGATGATGCCATGGTCCCAGGTCAGCATAAGTAAAATCTAAAATAAAAACATGTTTTTGAATTTTTTTTTAAGAAAGTTTTACTGCTGTATATTTAAATAATTTTAAGTAGTAATAAAAACTTACTCAACATTATTAAAGCTATAAATGTTACACACAAGTATACTTTAAACATGTTTGTTTATTGTAATATGCACTGGTTAAGTTTTTTAAATGTATCGGTTTTCAACCAATTTTATACTTATATTTCAAACAATAAAAAGATAATAAATTATACAAAAAACTTATTAAAATCACACAAATTACTATTTAAATTCTTAGATTGCAAATCGCATTTTAAGTAGGACTGAATAAACAATGACATATACAGGGTGTCCCAAATTTTGTTTTCATGACAACCATTTTTAGATGTGGGGTAGTCAGCATATCTGTCACCACGCGTTGCCGAGTTGCGTTAGTGTGCCCTTGAAATTAATTTAATTTAATGGATGCCACTTATACTTGAAACTGCAAAGTATATTGCCAAAATCTCTGCCACGTAGTAGAAACGGTTCTATAACGTGGAAATGACTAAAATGGGCAAATAAAACACAGTGTATTATGAAGTAGGTAACTATTGGCTTTTATTGTAATTTATATTGTCAACAAGAAAGTAAATATTGCAATATTATATGGATTTTTTTGCTTAAAGTTTCCTTAGTAATAAATTTTCATATTCTCCACATCCATTCCATTTGATATACAATAAATCCAGTTGTGATATGAAGTGACTCCAACCATGATGCTCTTGTTTAACTTATGTATTGTCCACATAGGGCTTTCTTTTTGAAAAACTGATTTTTCCACCGTTTCAACAGACCAATCTATCGAAACACCCAAGTGTGCAGTTGAACATTCTTTAATTTTGTTATGGAGTAGGTCTTTATCCAGTTTTTTCTCTTCTTCCAGTTTTCTTAATTTCATTATCAAGTCTATGAAATTTCTACAAAAAAGTTTATTTAGTACTCAGAAGTTTTACAATAAAAATGAACTATTCTTTTTAAATTAGAAGTTTACCCACTAACCCTTATAAGGGTATATATACCATAGTATAGTATATATCAGGACCGTGCCAGGATTTTCTCATGGGGGAGTTATCATTAAATTGTTAAACATGTACATATGGTTGAATCTCACGAAATGTCCCCCGATGGTCTTACCTCGTGATATTTAATATTTTATTGTATTTTTAGTAGATATTACAGCTCAGGTTCCAGATTTTTAACCGCAATTAATTATTTTTTACAATGTTTTAAAAGTCTAAAACCTATCCTCCGTGACTGTTACTCTTTCTAGGTTAACCTATATGTTTTCAAATATCTCAGGTAGTGAAAGCATACTAAAAATATCAGTTCACTAAGTAAATTAAACACATCCAAAGCAATCGAATCAAATATAAAACATTATTAAAAATTAAAAGAAATAATTTTTAAAACTATTTATGTAGGTGTTACAAAAATTGATTCTATCCTCCGTGAATCTGTTTTTGCTTTAAATATTATGCAACAGGTGGCGCTTTAATCATTTTAAATAAGCAAAAACCTCGGTTTACGACATTATAGATGCATGTGATTTCTGAAGGTCAGTTAGGATTTCTATGCAGATGAGAGTTTTGCTGTTTTATAATTCAAAAGTTTCATTAATTTGCTATTTAAAAACCTATCCACCGTGAAGTGTAATACCTCAGTAAGTAGATTTTTTTTATAAATATTTCATGTATGTACAATTGCAGTTTTAAAAAATATTAAGGTGTCAAAAGATACAAAAACTAATTTCAAATAAACAAAATCGTAACCTCCGTGAAGCTATCTTCGGTGAAGCTCTAATATTCAAAATGTATGATTTCTTAAAATTCTTGCATTAGTGCAGAACCACTTATGTTATGTTATTACTAGACCGCGTGGCTTCCCAAAAACCGCATTCTAAACTAACAGTGAAACAACCAAAAATAAAAAATAATCATTTTCACTTGGGGGACATCTCAATATATTCACCCTTATACATTTAAAATAATAACAAAATTCACAAAAAAATGCGAAAAAAGCTGAAAATTCTTTTGCTAATAGCTAATTTTTTTAGCTAGTTTTTTTGATAAAATTGAAAAAATCGCTTGGTTTTTTTTATCATTATCAACAATAAAACACGGGATATGAACAATTTTTACTTTTTCTTGAAAAATAGGATATTGCGCAAATTTTGCCAAGAGGTACTATAAAAAACTATATTATTATTATTACCCTTTCACAATAAAATGAAATGAAGAAACCGTTTTTTAATTTAAAAAGCTTGTAGGTATATCGTTTTAAATTAAAACTTTTAATTTATTAATTGTATACAAAATTAATTAGTTAATTCAAAAATTTACCTTTTTTCTTGATTCCATGGTCCCTGGTCAGCATAAGTAAAATCTAAAATAAAAACATGTTTTTGATTTTTTTTTAAAGAAAGTTTTCTGCTGTATATTTAAATAATTTTAAGTAGTAATATAAACTTACTCAATATTATTAAGGCTATAAATGTTACACACAAGTATACTTTAAACATGTTTGTTTATTGTAATATGCACTGGTAAATTTTTTTAAATGTATCGGTTTTCAACCAATTTTATACTTATATTTCAAACAATAAATTGTACAAAAAAACTTATTAAAATCAATAATTTGAAATAATCAATTTGTTTGGTCTTCATTATTACAAAATTACTTTTAAAATTCTTAGATTGCAAATCGCTTTTTAAGTAGGACTGAAATAACAATAATGACATATACAGGGTGTCCTGAATATTGTTTTCATGACAACCATTTTTAGATGTGGGGTAGTCAGCATATCTGTCACCACACGTTGTAGAGTTGCGTTAGTGTGCCATTGAAATTAATTTAATTTAATGGATGCCACTTATACTTGAAACTGTAAAGTATATTGGCAAAATCTGCCACGTAGTAGAAACGGTTTGTGATTTGCCAACCATTTTATATGAAGTTTAGGAGATTATTATTTAACTATTTTTAATCCTTATACTATAGTATATAGTATAGTATAGGTACTATAAAAAACTTATATTAAATTATTAGGTACCCTTTCAAAATAAAATGAAAAGAAGAAACTGTTTTTTTTTACATTAAAAAGGCTGTATATCGTTTTAAATTAAATCTTTGAATACATTAATTGTATGAAAAATTCATTCATTATTGATTCCAAAATTTACCTTTCCGCTTGCTTCCATTCTCCGTCAGCATAAGTAAAATCTAAAATAAAAACTTGTTTTAAAATGTTTAAAATTTTTACAACTGTATATGGTACTATTGTGTTATGTTAAAAATAAGTCACGCGATAAAGATTTATAAATTCTCAAGTGACTTAGGAAACATAACACACGAGTGGCATACAATGTTTTATACAAGTGGAAGAAATCGTTCACCAGCTTATAGTCAAAGAAAAAGGGTGTCTACAATTTAGAAATCTAAGTTGTTATTCTGCAAGTGAGCACCACTACAAGGGATTTTGTTTATGCATTACTCTAAAATCGTACCACCCTATATAGCTTCTTTTTTACAACCCCTGTCCGTTGTGATACCAATGTCTATTTCGTTACTTTTTTTAGTTTTTGTTAAAAAAAAATACTTAAAATGATTTTTATACACTATCACTTGGTAATACGTGTTTATATATTAGAGTTTAATTCACTAATACAGTGACTAAAAGAAAATATTAATGGTATTGTTTTTTTAACAAAGAATCGGAATGGTTTCTTTTAAAAAGTAACTTAACGAACATACATATTTAAAAAAAAAGCGTACAATTTTTAATAATAAATAAAATAAAAAATTGGAGTCAAAAGTTTGTGAACTAAGTACATTTTATTTCAAATTATTTTTATAACAACTTTTTTTATTGAATTAAATTTTGGATTTCAAATTGGTAACACAGTGGAAACATATAAAGCTAGCTAAACACATTTTTCTGGAAAAAAACGTAAAAAAAAATTAAAAAGTGCACTGCCTGTCTTAAATGTAAGTAAACAAAACTCTAAACATTTATAAAAATCCAACCAAAAGTCAATTTAAGCAAAAAAAATATTTTGATCTTCATTTTCCTGAAAGCGGGTGTTTCTAAAAAATGACCCACAAAGAATAATATTCTTATATTATACTACAAACAGTTTAAAAATTTTGAATTCAGGTACATCTTAGATTTAATATACATATAACTCTTAAAATTACTTTTAAAGGTGTTAACAGTGAGGTCAGGTTTAAATAAATGCATATGTTTATTAGCAATAGAAGCAGCTAAGTACTCAAAGCATTTTTCAAATTTAGAGGTTTTGTGGTATGGAATAGAATAAAGATTGGCGTTTCTTAAATTTACATTATGGCAATTATTTTTTCTAAAATGGGCCAAAGGTTTAAGTATTCCATGTATAACATAATACTGTGTTATGTGATCGCTGTACTAAATATTAAATTTAAAAAACTATAATATACATTACTACAATAATGAAAAGGGCTTAAAATCATGGTATTAGTAAGTTTCCATTTAACAGAGCTACTTAGGAAGTATTTATAGCAATAAATAGATTTAAACTTAAAATAAGCATTTTTTAAAAGCCTAGATTAGCATCAAAATGTATTCCCAAATTTTTGACACAGTTTTCTAGTTTTATCACAGAATCGTTTACTTTTATATCACAGGTCTTATAGGTTTATGCTTTTAGACACGTAGAACACATAGCATAATTTAATATCAGATTATTATATTTGGACTACTTAGAAACACTTACTAGATCTTCATTAATTTCTGCAATAACTTCATCAATATTAACAGGTAAAGCTGATTTATAAATTTGAGTATCATCTGCATATTGGTGGACCTTATTTAAATCTGCAGTAAAAATACTAAATAGAAATGGACCAAGTATACTACCTTGGGGGACACCCTTAGATATCTGTAGCATTGTTGATTCTTGATTATTTATTTTTACACATTGTTTTCTCCAGAAACCAGGATATAACAGAGTTGTCGAAGTTGTAATAATGTAGCTTTTATTATTATTATATTATAATCTTTATTATTTATTAAATAGTATTTTTTTAAATTATCTATAATATATGTATTATATGTATGTATGTTTTTTAATTTAAAAAAATAAATCAATACATATTTTCATCCAAGTTCAATGTTAGGGGTAATTATTTTACAATGCAACTAAGTTAAATCAATTGATTTCAAGTATTCAGCTTTTCAATCAGACAAAAAACAGCAAAGATATTTAATATAATTACCATGGTAGTGATTTTTTCCTTAAAAAGATGTTATTTTTTAATTATATATTTACAAAAAAAATACTGTCTATTTTTATTCATATTTTAGTCGTTAACGACTGATATAAATTATATGAACCTATTTACATTTTTGATGATTTTATTGGCCAAAAAACAAATCTAGTAAACCATGCATGACTTAATTAGCGAAATTATTCTCTATGGTTAAAAGCAAATATCACAAATGTCATTGTTGAAATTTTAATTGTTTTACGTCTAATTTAAAATGTCAATGTATAGAAATCGACTTTTGTATGGAAAATATAAACGTTGAAAGATGTCTTGCAAAAACCTATATCCACACTGAAAGAAATATATACTAAAGTTAAATAAAAAAATAATTAGGGCAAATATATTTTATGTTTCATATATAGACTACCACATACATTGCTAAAACAAATATATTCGTTTGGTTAGCAGCCTATTGCTGCCCTAGCAATATAAATGGTGTTTCTAGCAATATTTTTTTGCTGTAATTCACTTATAGTTTACATTTTATAGTAAGGGTAAGTTTATTTTTATTTAGATCTAACATATCTTCTTTACAATAAATGTATTACAAAATTTACCATACATTCATAATAAACAGTAGTATAAATGTGTAAAGCACTAGTATAAAATTTTTAGTATAAATTTGTATTTACTTTTAGCAACAAATTTCTTTCAGTGCACTGATATGCTAAATCAGTTGATATAAATAAATCAACGTTTCTGCATACGGCTCTAAGTGATATTTTAAATAAACATTGACAAGTTGTGGCTTTATGGCGTTTTTCTCACGGGCTGAAGTTAGCTCTAAGTTAGTTGACGGTTGTCAAATGTCATAGGATCGTAATAAACTGCCCTTCTTGTAAAATTATAAAGTGGAAATTATTTTATTATTTTAATAAAAAAATAAAAAGTACTGGCTTTACGGCGTTTTTCTCACGGGCTGAAGTTAGCTCTAAGTTAGTTGACGGTTGTCAAATGTCATAGGATCGTAAAAATAAACTGCCCTTCTTGTAAAATAATAATGTGGAAATTATTTTTTCTACTTCTATTATGGAATATGACCGTTCTAATATCACTTTTATCTATGGAATGACATATATTCCGTAAAGTTTTACAGAATAAAATATTCTATCATCTGATGACAGAATAAACACTCGTGGCGACATCTCTGTTTTTAATATCTAACAAATTTTAGACCGATCCAACCTTACTTTCTTCCAATTAAATTATTTGTCTATGGTATTTTGTGGAAACGTAGAAAATGTATAGTCTGAAACACGTTTGGAATTGCATATTCCCCTATCGTGAAACCGTCAAACTCGCCTTCGGCTCGTGTGACAAACTTTTCACTCGAGCAGAATATGCCGTATTCCAAACTTGTTACAGAATATACTATTATTATTTTAATACAAAAATAAAAAGTACTAAATAGTTTCTCAATACCTTTTTGAAAAGTTTATATCCAAGTTTTCGAGTCACTCATTTAATTGAACACTCGCTTGTGCCTAATTAAAATTCGTGACTAAAATGGCCTTGATATTTAATATACATTTTTTTACTATTTTATACATAATATATAACAAAATAAAATTTTGTAATTTAACATTTTAATATTGACAAATAAAGCACAGTGTATTATGAAGTAGGTAACTATTGGCTTTTATTGTAATTAATATTGTCAACAAGAAAGTAAATATTGCAATATTATATGGATTTTTTTTGCTTAAAGTTTCTTTAGTAATAAATTATCATATTCTCCACATCCATTCCATTTGATATACAATAAATCCAGTTGTTAAATGAAATGAGTCCAACCTTGATGCTCTTGTTTAATTTATGTATTGTCCACAGAGGGCTTTCTTTTTGAAAAACTGATTTTTCCACCATTTCAACAGACCAATCTATCGAAACACCCAAGTGTGCAGTTGAACATTCTTTAATTTTGTTATGGAGTAAGTTTTTATCCAGTTTTTTCTCTTCTTCCAGTTTTCTTAGTTTCATTATCAATTTTACGAAATCCCTACAAAAAAGTTTATTTAGTAATCAGAAGTTTTACAATAAAAATGAACTATTCTTTTTAAATTAGAATTTACTGTAAGTGTACCCACTAACCCTTATAAGGGTATATATAGTATAGTATATATCAGGACCGTGCCAGGATTTTCTCATAAGGGAGTTATCATTAAATTGTTAAACATGTTAAGTTCATTAATTTGCTATTTAAAAACCTATCCACCGTGAAGTGTAATATCTCAGTAAGTAGATTTTTTTATAAATATTTTATGTATGTACAATAATTGTTGTAGTTTTAAAAAATATTAAGGTGTCAAAATATACAAAAACTAATTTCAAATATACAAAGGGATGTTTTAAAAAAACATACGAAATCCTAACCTCCGTGAAGCTATCTTCCGTGAAGCTCTAATATTAAAAATGTATGATTTCTTAAAATTCTTGCATTAGTGCGGAACCACTTATGTTATGTTATTACTAGACCTGGTGGCTTCCCAAAAAACCCAATTCTAGACTAACAGTGAAACAACCAAAAATAAAAAATAATCATTTTCACTTGGGGGACAATATATTCACCCATATACATTTAAAATAATAACAAAATTCACAAAGCAAAGAAAAAAAAGGGGAAGTCGGCTGAAAATTGTTTTGCTAATAGCTAATTTTATTAGCTAGTTTTTTTGATAAAATTGAAAAAATCGCTTGGTTTTTTATCATTATCAGCAAAAAAACACGAGATATGAACAAATTTTATTTTTTCTTGAAAAATAGGATATGGCACAAATTTTGCCAAGAGGCGAAAACCTCATTTTCGCACGGTCCTGGTATATCCAGGTAATATAAAAACCTTTATTATTATTATTACCCTTTCACAATAAAATAAAATGAAACCGTTTTTTATTTTAAAAGAGCCTGTACACTGAGAGAAATAATGTTGTAGAATCATTCAAAACGATAATAATTCCAAGTGATTCAAATATGTTTTGGCGTCATTGGTGTTTCTCATTAAATTAAAAGGTGTATAACAATTGTATAATACATATATTTTTAAAATAACGTTGAGAAAGGCAATGAAATAAATAAATTTCTTTTTTGTATATATATTTTAAAGAGAGTACACTTTAAAAGTGTTTAAAACATTGTAAAACTGTTGGTAAATGAATAAAACTACAATTTTTCTATTTGAATCAAATTTACCCGATTATTTGAATTAATATCGTTTCATGTGCTTTTCATGACATGATATTTCTCTGAGTGTAGGTATATCGTTTTAAATTAAAACTTTTAATTTATTAATTGTATACAAAATTAATTAGTTAATTCAAAAATTTACTTTTCTTGTTGAAACCATGGTCCCTGGGCAGCATAAGTAAAATCTAAAATTAAAACATGTTTTTGAATTTTTTTTAAAGAAAATTTTACTGCTGTATATTTAAATAATTTTAAGTAGTAATAAAAACTTACTCAATATTATTAAGGCTATAAATGTTACACACAAGTATACTTTAAACATGTTTGTTTATTGTAATATGCACTGGTTAAATTTTTTAAATGTATCGGTTTTCAACCAATTTTATACTTATATTTCAAACAAGAGATAATAAATTGTACAAAAACCTATATATGTATATATATATATATATAGGGTCCTCATTTCTACAAATTTACTATTTAAATTCTTAGATTGCAAATCGCATTTTTAAGTAGGACTGAATAATCAATGACATATACAGGGTGTCCCGAATATTGTTTTCATGACAACCATTTTTAGATGTGGGGTAGTCAGCATATCTATCACCACACGTTGCAGAGTTGCGTTAGTGTGCCCTTGAAATTAATTTAATTTAATGGATGCCACTTATACTTGGAACTGCAAAGTACCTATATTGCCAAAATCTCTGCCACGTAGTAGAAACGGTTCTATAAAGTGGAAGTGACTAAAATGGGCAAATAAAACACAGTGTATTATGAAGTAGGTAACTATGGGCTTTTATTGTAATTAATATTGTCAACAAGAAAGTAAATATTGCAATATTATATGGATTTTTTTTGCTTAAAGTTTCCTTAGTAATAAATTTTCATATTCTCAACATCCATTCCATTTGATATACAATAAATCCAGTTGTGATATGAAGTGACTCCAACCATGATGCTATCGTTTAATTCATATATTGTATCCAGAGCGCTTACTTTTTGAAAAACTGATTTTTCCACCGTTTCAACAGACCAATCTATCCAAACACCCAAGTGTGCAGTTGAACATTCTTTAATTTTGTTATGGAGTAGGTCTTTATCCAGTTTTTTCTCTTCTTCCAGTTTTCTTAATTTCATTATCAAGTCTATGAAATTTCTACAAAGAAGTTTATTTAGTACTCAGAAGTTTTACAATATAAATGAACTATTCTTTTTAAATTAGAATTTACTGTAAGTTTACCCACTATAAGGGTATATATACTATAGTACCTATAGTATATATCAGGACCGTGCCAGGATTTTCTCATGGGGGAGTTATCATTAAATTGTTAAACATGTACATATGGGTGAATCTCACGAAATGTCCCCCGATGGTGTTACCTCGTGATATTTAATATTTTATTGTATTTTTAGTAGATATTACAGCTCAGGTTCC